GCTAATTGTTCTCAGTTTTTATATACTTTTTAATGTGTCAAAATTATAAGAATATTCGTATCTACTATGTGTTGAAATAGCAATATTAATTTATTTATTATTTAATTTTGCGATAATATATTAATTTCACATTATTTTTATGGCTATATTGAAATTCATTTAATAAAACAGTTAATTAAGTCAAATAAAAGTACTTAATTTATTATTAATTATCACAATACCGTTTATCACACTATAAAACTTTTACATTTATAATTAGTTTTGTAAAATGTAATATTACACAATATTACTCAGAAATATTATAAATCTCAATATTTGCAAATTTCACATTTATTACCTCAATGTATCGATGATTTATTATTTTATTACTTAATTAGATGGTAATATATGAATTTCATATTTAAAATCTTAATCAATTATTACTAACTATAGCACAGTAAATTAATAAAAATTATAAAATATTTTATATTCAAAATAAACTGAATTTTGAAAATTAAAATACATATTATTTTCAACAATTTCTTAAAATTATTTTTAAAAATTATATTAATTAAAGTAATAAATAACCAACAAATTTTCAAACAATTAGGCATTATAATATAAATTTTAAATTTTATATGAATCAATTGTATTGTCTATTTAAATTAATACACACTTATAATATTCTAATTAAATAAGCATTTTTATTTATTTTATTAAAGGCTTAATTGCTGATACATTTTTAACAATATAAAATACTCGAACAATAACATTAGTTTTTATATAAAAATAAAAATAAAATTTTGTTCATGGTAATTTTAACGGAATGCGGGGCATACGTCCCTACCAGCCCCATTATTTGTCAAACAAACATCTTCCGGACAGTCCTTTATGTGGACAGCCTTTGTGTTGGGAAAGTCGCAATTATAATAGCCATTTGGGTTACAGTTGCCAAATAAATACAAGCCCTTCCGAGTGCCACAATGTTTGCCAGATTGGGTGCCACAAATGCAGTCAGTCGTACCTTGGTAAGTTAAAAATAATTAAAAATTTATTTTATATTAAATCTAACTTGTTAATAAAATATATGCAATTTACAAGGGTCGGACTCAGCATAGACAATGATTGCTACAATGTAAACTATGCTGAACAATAAGACAATGGACCTAGTGGCCAACATATTTAGTAAAGATTAAAAGTTTATTCAAAATTCAGTAATAATATTTTACGTAAAATAAATAAATATTTGCGTTTATATAAGCTTTATATAAAGCTAATAGTTATGAAAGTTAATAAAATTATATCTTAATTATACTGAAATATATGAATTTCATATTTGATTTATTTATTTATGATCTAAATCATATAAAATTGTACAAACATTAGAATATCTAATCAAAATTAGTTTATTATGCTATTTCATGATTTTTATTACAAAAATTAAATATGTATTATAAATATCCAATTGTTATAGCTTTTATAATATAATTAAATAATTATCTAATAGTTATTACAATATTTATTATCATTAACCTTATGACATAAAGTCAAATGCTTTACAATGAGAGTTAATATTGGTATAAATCAAATTAATCAGTGTACAAAACATTTAATTTTGATATTTTTTCAATTCCATAATAGATTATATTTTACAAAAAATATACATTTATTATAAACATAGCAATTAAAATATAAGCTTTATTAATAAATATTTTTAAAAGTTTAATTGTTATTATTCATTTACTGTATTATAAATTATCAAATAAAAAACAAAACATTAAACCAATTTAATTTCAAGTAAATTTAATAATTAATAATAATTATTTTATAAAGTGGGCTTGCTAAGAATACAGAAAATAGTAAATATATATATACTATTAAATATTTTATACCTTTCAAATAATCATTTATGTTTTGTATTCTTATGATTTCTAAAGTTTACTCTCCGATGCAAGTAATGCTTAATAATTATCAGCACCGGTATTACCCAAATTGGTTTACTCTAATATTTTCGATATATAAAAACATTTCTAAAATTTCCAGGGTAAAAACCAAGATGTCAATACGTGGCCAAAATGCCGACCGTTTATTTTAAAGAATAAATAGATTATATGGAATATAAAGAATATTCTGTATAATTAGTGCACAGAATCTCTAATCACTCATTCAATGCATACCAATAACCTTCAACAGAATCAAGTTATTTATTATGAATACCTGTAGTTATTATAATCATAAATCAATTTTAAATTAAATAAACTAAATATTAACTTTAATTTGTACAATTACTATAAATTTTTATTAGCGATAAATTATTTAAGTGACATTTTTGATTGCATTCGTGAATTAAAACAATATTTTATTAAAAATACTATTAAATAATTTTTTTTAAAATCAATTGGTTTAAACTAAATTTAGTGCATTAACTGAATAATATTTTATAACGCTCTAACTGTTTTATTGTTAATGTTAAATGTCAATAAATATTTTTTATATTAAAAAATAAATAACAGCTTATATACTATAAATATTTATAACATTTGTTATAAGAATGAGTTTATTCATAATTTAATATATATATATATTTTAATGTTTTGGGTGTCTTATATTTTTCAGCACAATGGAATTTGTATATATATAATAACATTTAAAAAAATACTGATTAAATAGTAATTATGTACTGACTTGTGAGTACCGGTATTTAACAATAAATGTGAATTGGTGTGAATAAGTCATTCTGTACAGTATTATTATAATATTTAAAATAAAGTAAATACATTATTAAATTTTTAAAACATGTAAATTAATTTATATGAATAAATTGTATAGAAATTATATTGTTTTTAGTAAATTATACAAAAATGAACATTTATAAAGTTATAAATATTTAATTTTAAAAATTTGATCAATATATTTTATCATTATATTTTTATACCTGATAAACGTAATAAATTTATTCGATCAATATAAATTATTATAATTTAAAGTGTAATAATAATATTGTATAATTAATAATTTAAATATATGTCAATTGATAATTTTTTGAATGAAGCATATTGTTAAGTTTTAAATTTTGAATCTTAATTATTGTTATCTTATAAATATATCAAAAATTAAAATCAATTTTAAAACATGATTACAACAAATACACAACTTATCCAAAAATTCATTTATTTCTATCGATGTTTTGGCATAACATTTGGTGGCATATGTGTAACAAAAGATGGATACATATCACATAATAAACTCCTAAAAATGATCGGGATCATTAATGCCATTGTTATATTGTGCATATTCATTTGGGCGATTACTGATACCCTGTTCAATTTGCAAATTTTTGTCACGAAAAATGATTTCTCTATCATATATTATGTTCACAAGACCTTCCTTTATATGATATATACAGAAGTTTTTGTCAGTTTTTTATACCTTTCCGCTATGGGCTCACACATTATCACAATATGGGTTCAATTAGAAGGAATTAATCGGATGAAACATAAATTAATTATATTTACCATGCACATATTTATGGCATGTATTTTCATATTATTTATGCTCAAATATGTTACGCTCAGTCACCAAGTGTTTACTTATATTAATGTAAAACCATTAATCCAGTTATTTGTCTGTGCGTATTGTTTCATGATACATTGTCTATTTTATATTTTATTATGTGGTAAGTATAAAATATTAAATATATAAAGTTCTCAAAATACTAAATTAACTTATTTATATTTAACCTAGGAATTTCACTGACTATTACAGAATACATAGATAAACTAAGTAATATAATTAAAAATAAACATCATTTCGATATAATAAGAGTTAGGAATATGTTCAATAAAATGCGTGATACAATCAAAGAGCTTGATGATTCTTATTGAATATACAGCATAAATATTTTGGGAACAGTATCTAATATAATGGGTATTATGGTATTCATATACATGGCTACTGTGGTGAACGATGGTCCTGATGTGAAATTCTTGTTGCCATTAGTTTATATGCCCGTTAAGATTATAGTTATTGTCTTATCCATGGAATGGCACAGACATCTGTTCAGACATTTTTCAGACAATTGGATAAATTGGATGTTACTGTTCAGAATATTTCTGAAAATAATTATCGGAACTACCGGTGCCTTAAGGCTCAGTCAGTTGGCACTTATATAGTGTTCACAATCGGCGGATTTATTCCCTATAATAGGAGTACACTACTCGCTGTAAGTTATCTAATATTTATTTATGTACACTATTACTAAATAATATAATAAATTATTTATTTTATTTTAACAGATATTTTGTTTTCTACTCAATTATATCGTAATACTCACACAAATGGGAAAGTTTTAAAAGTTACAAATATTTTATTTTATTAATATTTATATGAAATACCGTACAATTGTTAGAAAATAATTAATTTACATGAATACTTACATTTTCAATATTTCTTAAATATAACTATATTTGAATAAGATTACTATATATTCATATTTATAATAAATTTTATAAATTTAAATCCAATAAGTTTATTTATAAATTTTTACAAACTTAATTTAATATATCTATTCTTCATAAATATGTTTTATTCAATATGACTTAAAATTAATCAAATCCGAGATCACAAATATTTTATCCTATAAGCAATTTTTCTGTGATTTCGACTAAAGTATATAAGATTTAACGTTTTTATAAATAGCAAATATTGTATTATAATATTGAATCATTAATGAATTAGCAAAAATGATAGTTTTCATAGTTTTATAGCAAAGTACAATAGTTGCTATTTATAAAAACGATCAATGATTTTATACTTTAGTCTAAAGCCGAGAAAAATTGCTTATAAGATAAAATATTTGTGATCTCGGATTTGATTAATCTTATGTCATATATGATAATTTATAAATATTGTGGTTTTATTAATTAACATGTAATTATGTTTATGAACTTCAATTTTTTTATAATAAACAATTTTTGAATTTCTTATAAGTTTACATTTTACAAAAATATACAATTACTGTATTATAAATTTTCTAATAAAACAATAAAACATAAAATTACATTTATTCAATTTATTTAAAGTAAATGATGGTTATATATTATTAATAATTATAACATGTATAAAGTGGGTTTGCTATAAATACTAGTACACATTTTGAATTAATCAAAATTTTAACCATTTATGTTTTGCATTATTATTATGAGATTTTTGAAGTTTACCTTCTGATGCAAGTAATGCTTGATAATTATCAGCACTGGTATCACCAACTACTGGTTTAGTCCTACACTTTTCATATATGAATAGCATGCCTAAAATTGTCAGGGTAATGACCAAGATGCCTGTAAATGGCCAAAATGCCGCCCATTTATCTTTAAAAAATAAATAAATTATGAATATATATACAGAATATTCTGTAAAATTCCACAGAATCTCAACACAAAAACTAATCACACATTCAATGCATACCAATAACTTTCAACAGAACCGTGTTATTAGTCTCTGCGACACCATTCCGGGCGATACACACGTAATACTGTCTGTCCGATAGGTCCAACTCATTGATGGCCAGGTATGAGAGGGTGTCGTTATATTTCTCAATTCTCACGTGAGTTGAATTGTCACCGGTAGGCACCGGTACCATAGTTTTGTTAGGTTTGTCGTGTTCACTTTCATTGTACATATACCAGTGGACAGTCGCGTCCCGGGAATAGCCATATTTGACAAGGCACTTTAGTTTAAACCAGTCGCCCACCACCCGGGTAATTGTTTGATAGTTAGGGGATTGGTGTTTGTCGAAAGGGTGTAACTGTGGCTCCGGGCGTACTTTAAATATCGTAAATACTTGTGAATTGTCGGGCAGTTCGCACCTCCAGTTCCCGATGTCCGTGAATGTAGTGTTGGAGATATGCAGCGACCAGTCGGTGGGGCTGATAGTAATCCGGTGTTTATCAACATCTGATAACGCGTTGATAGGGACGCCCCTCCTATACCTGTCCATTATATATCATACATAGAAAATATAATTGTTATAAAATATTAGCAATAATTTAACAATTAATATGTTTGATTAGATAAGTTTTAAATATTATTGACTAGCTCATAATATATATTCAAACATGTAAGTAAATTAATTATAACTTGTAGATAACAAAATTTTCAAAATGTTTTTACATGCATGTTGTTTGTAAATACATTTTAAAATTTTATTTATGAGATAATGTTAAAATAAATAATAATTTGAATCGATACAAACCACTTCCACTTAACCACACCTCGCGGGTAATCACCATCTGTGGTGTAATTACAGAAAATTTTTAAAGGCTTTCCCACTTCCAATAGTAAAGGGCTGACACTTTGACTATTTTCCCGCACATAGGAGATCTTGTAATAGAACACTATTTGATCAAGGTATAAACTATTAAAATTAAATTTTGAAATATACATTCAAAAGCCTTACCTCCATTGCCCTCTAAGGAAAACGCATTATAAATATAACAAAATATTAAAAATATTAGCAAATAATATGCTAGATATTTCATTGTTAATAACAATATTAAATTGCATTGCAGTGTGTGTTTAGTTGAATGTGAAACGGTAATTAAAAATAATTAATATGTTTATAAATTACTCTAGGAATCTTATGATATTTATTGCTAAATATATTGCGATATATTGTATAATAAATAACTGTGTCATCGTAGATAATTTTTTGTCTAATCATCATTTATGTATTAATTATATAAATAGAAATTTAGTAAACACTAGTGGTTGTATATATTTAATTCAGTTTTATATGAAATTAATAAATTATTACTAATTAGAAAATTATCTCAAATTAATAGTAAATAATGTGACTTAATAAAAATGAAAATATTAATAAACTTATTTAATTAAATAGAAATAATTTTTGTACTGAATCAATATTCAAGCTCATAATTTAATTTAAGCCTATAAATAGATTTTATAATATTTTTATCTAAAATAATATGTATAAAAAATATTATTTTATTTGTCATTATAAAATATTATTTAGTTATTTTTATTAAATTTATAAAATATTTTCAAATTACATAAACATATTACAATAAATTAAAAATATTATATTGCATTTATTTCCTGGTATATTATATTTGTATTGCATTTATATCATTTAATTTTATTAATGTAAATGTCTAATAGTTTTATATTGTACTACTAAAACTTAAATTTATAATTAGCTACTGTTTAAATAATTATAATAGTTTTATTAAGATCTACAGAATTTACAATATAATATTCATATAAATTATTGACAATATAGTTTTCAATGAATAAATGATTATAATGCAAACTAAAATTTAAACAAAAATATTATATTGATAATAATCTATTTAGAAATCCCCTTGTAAACATTACATTTGCCAATAGTCTTGCTATCATTAAACAATATCTTGAGACAAGTTTTTAAAAAAGTACATTGAGTGCAATAAAAATCAAGAAATCAATTTAAAAACTTGAAATTCTCGAGAATAAAGTCATTAAATATGAAATGATTGCATTTAAATGATTCATAAGACTGTGTGTGAATCAGAAAATTTGCATATTTGACACAGGTATAAAACCCAATTCATAATTATTATATTGCTAAACAGTAAAATAGTTTATGTTTTAATAAATTATCATTTGAATTAACTAGTAAGTGCTGTATATTACTTGAAAACATGAATATGCTGTTTAAATCAATAGTTATATTATGTTTTACATGTTCAGTTGTTTATTGTAAGTAATGTAACATTGCAAAGTAAACTTATTATTAAAAATAGTTGTTATAAAATTTAATAATCACACAATAATATTCTTAACAAACTTAAATTCTGCGTTAAAATATTACATAATTTATCATATCCTAATCTATACATTATTTTATCATTTTAGGCCAGGGATCCGATGAAAGGGACGTGGAGTTTGTACCACCGCGTACAGTGCCCGGAACAGGTAACTAATTAATTGAACATGGCTAGAATTTAAAACAAAATACCGTTATATTTAACTCACCATAGTTAGCATAAAAATACATTATTTATAAACTATTTTTAAAAATAGTTTATAAATAAACAAAACTAATCAACAAATATCAACCAATAGGTGTGGCCAACAACAGGAACTACACGAAAGTATGGAATGACATGCGGGACATCATGATTGACGGGTGGGAGCGCCTACGGAAGCAGATACAGGACCGGTGGCGGCGCCTACAGGACGATGCGGTCGAGTCGATGGAAAGGCTGCAAAACTTTCTGAGCGAACGCACGGATAAGGCCACCGACGACCGCACCAAACGGTATTTGCGGTCAATGAATGACAATCTGAGGAACATTACCGACGCCCTCAAGACCTTCAGGGATGAGTCCCGGAGACAGTCTCCCGGTGATGGTCGCCGGGGGCCGGCGTATAAAATTGAGCCACGTCGACAGCCCAAGTAGCTTGAACAATTTTTATGCGTTTATTTGGTGCAGGAACCTTTAAGATTTTTTTTATTGTCAAGAGTAATTAATATTGGTGATATAATGAAATAATTTTAAAGTTTTTAATTATTAAATGCTTTTAGTTACGGTATGTATTACAGAATTATAATCAATAAATTATAGTATAAGGTAAAGGATTTAGTTACCGGTCACTTTGGGACACTATAGTAGAATGGCTCTAAAACTTTATATAATTCAGTTGGAATAAATTTGATTTGTGGTAATAATAGTCCTAATATGTGGCTTTAATTTTGTATATATGTTTCATTAAAATGATTTAATATAAGGTAGGTAATTCTAGCTAGAAAATCATCAAATTCATGTCAATCTGAGTAATGGTCTTAAGGCTATGTCAAAGGTCATTAATACTTCAACCAGGTCAACTTAATATACATCGTCTGAAAGCCAAGATTTATACCTTTCAAATAAACTATAGATTTATAAAATCTGAGTTGTATTTTTTATTTTAATCACATTTCAAAATTGACTACCAGGATACATTGGAACAAATACATTGTTTCTATGGGAAAAATATGGGCTTGGTATAAAAAACTATAAAAAAAATCATTATTTTTGAAATGTGATTAAAATATAAAATAAATTAATAATTAAACTTTTAAAAATTAACTTTTCAAAGGCATGTCACAAAAAAATGTCTTTTAAATCAAATATACAGTTTATATAAAGAAATTAAAAATATATATCAAAATATAGTATGAAATACTTTTTGGAATTGCATTTAATTTTTTTGTTATCAAATTCTTCTTGTATCATTTGTACCTGGGGTTTGTTTAGAGTTGGGGGTTATACCGTAATGAATTAATCAAATAATTGTTTGGGCCTAGGTTAACTTTACATATAAATATAATTTACGCAAAATATTATAAATTATAAACTCAAAAAACTTTGAAAAATACATTTATTAAATTATAAGAGTGGAAATAATTAAATACAAATGTGTATTTTATCATTAGAAATTAAGACACTATATCTTATGTATCGGACATTTTTTATTCAGTTATTAATATCATGTTTTAATTTTTAATAAAAAACATACATTTATATGTAATTATATCTATTGATATGATTAATACTATTTCAATAAGAATTAAATAGGGGAATATATTTATTATTATATTTAAAGTATACATTATTTAAGCAACAATTTATTTGAGAGTTGATACAATATATTGACCAATAGCTTAATTTATTTTAGATACAATCAATAAATTGGAATTTAATAAATATTATCGACAAATAATATTTGGGGACATTCATAATAAACTGTATGTAAATTCATTCAGATTTGTATGCACAAAAGCTTGAGTGATATTTTATTTATTACTCTATTTATTATGAGATTAGCTATTTTATCTATGACATTTTTGGACCAGTGTATATAACCATTGAGTTTGCTTTGTTATTTCTATGCCTTTCATTTCCAGTAATGATTAAATAGTTTTTTAAACCAGTATTTTTTAAATGTAATTAATTATAAGTACTACTGTAACTGAAATTATTTATATTTAAAATATATAACATACAAAATAGTTTCAGTACTTTTATTTAATCATTCCCAATTAAGTATTATATTTAAAGGTTCGTGATTGAGAAGTTCGGATACGATAATATCGTTTTAATAAAAAAGTATTGCATTTTGCAATTTAACAATTTATAAATAACTTATCAAGCATGTTTCTATGGATAAAATTGGATTTTATATAAAATCTATTAAAACACGCTTAATTCATTTAATGTACTGTACATATCATTATATTTTTATTTAAGCAATTATTAAACATAATAAGTTTATAATAATAATTATTATTAAATAAAATATTATTTTACAAACACTACAATTTTTATTTATTTATTTTTTGATCAATTAAATATCACATTTAATCTTGACACAATTACACCATAAATTTTACAGACAAAAGTTAACATAATCATAAGTTTCACATTAACAGAATTTTAAAATTGACATATAATACTACAAATTATATCAAGATAGATTTACAAAAGTAAAAAATAAATACACCATGTTCAGCTAAATCATAGCCACCCCCTACTCATCCAAGTCGACCATACGCTCCAACGGCTTGGATATCAGTTCAATGATAGCCGTAGTGATAGTAATGACTGAAAAGCCCAGCCATAGGCCCCCTAACCCACCGAAATCGCACACCAACTGAATGAACGTAACTGAAGGGGAATGTCTGTACACCTTATCCAACGCCGGCTTACGGCGCACCTGTAGGCCAGTCAGGTTGTTGTGGGCATAGAAGGGTATGTCCGCAAACTTCTCAAACTCGTACTGTTCCTCAACGCAGTCCTTTTGGCATTTACTTTCGCAATCGAGCCGGTAGTTTGTGAATTGGCACTTGTTGATTTTGCGACAAAATGTGTCGTTCCCCTGGAGTAGTGAGGGCCGGTATAGCAGTCCACTACGGGGCAGGCATTTGCAGGTTTCCCGGTATTTATCGATCACGCATTTGGCGAAACAGTCGTCGTAGGACTGGTAGGTTTGGTCCAGACCTCATAAATTAAATTTAAAGTAAAAATTAATTATGTTTACATAAGTATGCAAGTTATATAGCTAATCAATATTCAGTTATTTGTTTAAACAGTTTTTAATAGCTTATACAATATTTACATAATTTTTTAATAACCATATAAATTATGCTTAAAAATAATAATATTTATAAAAAATAATCACTTAAAATTTTATTTTAAAGCTATTTGTTATTATGATCGTTATGCTTGAACTATTATTTTAAAATTTTATATTATTGAATTCATTATTTAAGTTTAGAATTAGAATTTATCAGCCTTATTAAGTATTTACATAATTTTGTAATAACCATAAAAATGATGCTTAAAAATAATGATATTTTTGGAAATAATTATTTAACATTTTAAAAAGGTATTAATCATTATGATCATTAAATCATCATTTTTAACTATTAATTTAGTATTTTATAATATTGAATACATCATTTAAGTTTAATAGTTTATGGTTAAACGCAAAAGTTTATAAATGCTTTATAAATTGCATAAGGAATTTTAGAAATTAAATTAATTTTCTAATTTTTAAAATATTCATGGTAATTAATTAGGAATATTAAAATACAGTAGGTAGGCAATTATATTATTTGGAAACTGTTCATTAAAACTATATAGCTTAATTCTAAATTTTATAAATAAATATGAGATTATTTATCGGGAATGTGTTTGGAATGAAATTATATTTTATTAAAATGCATTTCATAACTTTATTATATACTATAAGTTATATTTTATTGATAAGTCTCCAAATAAATAATAATTACCAAACTATTTTAAATTACTAATTTACTAATCAATTAGCACGTAATTTATTATCTATTAATTAATTAACCTAAAGGTATGAAAAATATGATAACATTAATTAAAAATAATCCTAAAATAAAAACTAAAACTACCGATCACTAGATAACCAAAACGACATAACACCTAATTAAATTTAATAAACATACCTGTCTTATACATGAAGCAATTAGTAGCGTACGGGGCCTCCAGGGCGTGGGTAACCGTCTTTTGAAACTCTATGTCGTAAAACCGGGACCACTGGTACAACGGGATGGACGGGTAAAAGTTGGGCACCGGGAGCGCGTTGGGCGGGTGTATCATAGCCCGGGCCCTGAAGTCCTTTTCAAATGGGTGGTGCCTCTGGGACTGGTTGAGCGCATGGCTCACGTAAACCACTTTATTAGTCCGCTGTTCGTAATTAGATTGCGATAAAAATATAGACGTTTTGAACGTATCCCGGGTCTCGTCCGTCAACTCCAGGTCCAGTTGGGACATGTATGTGAAGCACCGGTACTCTCCGTTAATGGACTCCAGGGGCTCGGCTACCAGTTGACAGTAATCCAGTTTATAGCCATCTGTGGCGACGGGTTTGGCGTCGATGAGACACTCGTCTTCGCGACCGAAAGTGAAGTCTTTCAACAGCTCTAGTATTGTGTGGTTTGACACCACTTTGTCCTCAAAGTATTTGTACAGATATTTGCCTTTAAATGTAATATTTATTTAAAAATTTTTGTTTTATTTTATTTTGATTATAAATTATAATTTAAATTTTTATGTAAATTTATTTCTAATTATACAATAGCTAGTTCACATAATTTATTAGTTATATTTCAGTAAAGTTAAGTTAATTATTTAAAGTCAAAACATAATAAAATAAAAATATTATTACAAGGTGTTTTGAATTTCCAAATTCTTTACTTATTTCTATCATTTATTTCTAAACAATTTTGATTTTTATTAGATTACAGTTTATGAAGATATTGATGAAATGCTAAAAACGTATAATTAATGTTATTTTAGCAAACTGAAAAATAGATAATAATCAAAATTATGTTATAAGTTAGACAAAATGATTTATTCAACCTTAATGATATTTTTACTGATAACTTTTTAAATTCTATAAATAGTATTATTATTAAAAACAAAAATATGTTGAAAATTTGTTACTTTTAGTGTAGATTGTATTATTTTAAACTTAAGGGTATATTATAAAAATTAAAGTAACTATTAAATTATTTTACAAACAAATTATTAAACTATTAAATTATTTAATCTGTATATTAGTATTATTTTTTTGTTTTAATATAAATATATATCATGTTTTGAACTATATTTATGTTATTTCAATATTTTGTTTGTCTAGTTTGTAAAATTATTATTAATATTATAATTAAAATTTAATAAATTAAATGTAATTTTTATTCTATCATGAAATTATAAATATAAACAATTTTATTCAATTAGTCTCAAATAATGTTTAATATAAAATACAATTATAACAAAACATTATACAGTACTTTAATTTTAATTATTTTAAGTATTCATTAATATCCTTGAAGTTATAATTATGTTTACTTAAAAAATATATTTCAAAAATTGAAAACAAACTGCACTCAAATAAATACCAAAAAATACTAAATAAATGTCAATAAAGTAAATTTTACTGTAAAAATAGTTGCTTAAATTAACATCAAAATTATTTATCAATTTTAATAATTTACTGCATCAAAAATAATTACTAAATCATACAAACTCACCTCGCATCTTATACTTATTAGCTGAGCCCGACTCGGGTTTAGTCCAATAATTAGGGTCATCCCTCTTAACCGACTCATTCCTGATACCCTCCACGGCCTCCTCATACTCCGGGAACATCTCAATCATCCGGAAATGTGGTATAATATCGGGGAAACACAGCGTTAGGCCCGGGTATTGAAACTTGTAGTCATCGGGTATTTCATAAGCAAAGGATACCGTAGTCTTATAATCCCAGTACTGTGACAATGATAGGTGAAAGTGGTAGGCAAAGCCCACGATAGATATAATGAATATAAGCACCAGGTGCGGTTTCACCCTGGCCACCCTGCGTAGTCGGCGCCTCCATACACCCTCATCCTGCGTATTGATCGTGGTCACTTGGTTAGTTTTATTATGACCATTATTATTAGTATTGTCGTGAGGTTTCAACTCCATGTTTGCGTAAAAATAGTTTTCAAACCGCTTTCTAAAAGCAAATAAATTATATACTAGTCGCTAATATCTAAGGCTTATAATATATTTACGTTATATGTATAATTATATGGTGTACCTACAAAAAAAAGTGTGTGTGTTCAATTAAAATTGTTATATTTATGGGAATCCCGTTTTTAAACATTTAAGCGTGCTATGATGTCACTGGTAGATTTTTATTATTTGCACGCAAAGTCTCCCGCGTACGACATCCCTTTCCCCTCCATTAAAGAAACTCATATTTTTTGGCAAAACTTTTTTTGCGATAATTTAAATATCACTCAAATATGTTTGCATTCATATGTCAAATGCCTTTTAATAAATACCTATTAATGTAAGCAATTGATTACATCCGAGAAATATAATGATAACACTTTGTGTAAAATCCCGATACAGGCTCATCAGTACATACCTGTCGTGTCCGCCCCCTTATTTGATTGAATGGGTAATTGATTTTACATTATGTTATGTGAAATACAATAAAATATTTTCACTTTTATTATGTTTTTCGCAAGAATTTAGAGTAATCTTATAATCC